TATTTTAACCTGTTTTACTGTTCTCCAAGGCACAATTTGGCTAGTCAGTAAGACCTGCAGGTGCTTGGGGGGGGAAAAAAAACAAACAACAACAAACAAAAGAAAAACAAAAAACCCCAAAACAAAACAAACAAAAAACCCCAAACACACAACACCAAAAAACAAACCCAACAAGCCCAAACTATCCACTTGTGTTCTAGTTGGCATTCCAGACCAAAGATATGTGAATTCAGTCTCAGACCTTTTCTGCCTTGTGCTAGGTTACTCAGCCCAGCCTAAAGCATCCGTAAGCTAAATTATGCTGTTTGACTTTGTAGTGAAAGCATTTGCGCAGTCAGCCACAGCTGAGAAGCTAGTGAGGAAGTTGTCCCATAGTGACTGCAAGATGTTCAGGACAGGCTTCTGAGTCCCCCACAATGTCTGTGTGTCCATCACAGTACTCACAGTTCAACAAGGCTTTGTTGAAAAGAAGGATTTGAACTCAATTGTTTGTGGTGGAGGGGTCAGGAGCCTTCACACAGTTCTTTATATCTGTGAGGTGGGTTCAACAACCCACCTTCTTCCTTGCTGTGATGTTGTATCTGGCTCAAATGCATACAGAGGCTTAGCACACCCTGATTTCTCAAATGGTACTGTAAATTTGACATGATGGTGGGGGTGGTGTAAGAACATACTCAAACCATAGTGCTTTGCAGCTGGCATGGCAGTGTGGAAATGCTTCTCATCCCAGGAGAGGAGAACAGAGTGACTGGACTGGACCATCAGGCATTACTTGTTGGGTAGAGGAAGGCACTCAGATACCAGAGAGCTGAAGGGTAAGATGAGAGAATCTTCATGAGAGAGACTATGATCTGAGAGAAAAATGAGGTTGTCACAATAAATTGTTATCCCTGGGTGTTTAAGTTAACTCCTCATTGAAACAAATGGTACAGTTCACTCAAGAGTTATTGTCCAGCTTTCTGCAGACACACAAAAAACATTATACCTTTTATCTTCAGCTTGCACCGAGAGGCTTGTCTTCACCATGGTTAGCCTTAGGCAGATTTTTTTTTTTAAGAGAATAAAAGATGGAGTTTTGCAAGATTGAGAGTTATGTCAGCACTGCCCACAATTGTTATGTTCCTCACCAGCCCATGCCTTGCTTATACATACCATGGACAGCAGAGAGCAGTTTTGTTTTTCCTGATAGATGAAAAATCAGGTAAATGCCTACATTAGATGTCAGAGTACAATTCTTCATGACTGCCTAGAATGTCAATAAAAACCTTTGCATCTGTCCCCAGAGATACAGAACAATACAATGAATGATTGGTGTTTAGCCTGCTACGGTACTCAGGCTCAATACCAGTCTTTGAAGTAGGTTGAATGAAATAACCACATTTTAAGTGCAGTCAGGTCAGTGAATTTTTTTTGCTTGTTGAGACAATGTCATTGGTTTTCAGTAAAGCAGGTGAGGCACCATTCAATTTGCCTTGTTGACTGTGGAGTATAACAGATTAGTGTTCTGAAGAAATAGAGCCATTTGATTATCCACATATATGTATATTTACATAACATTGCATCAACAACACTCTCCACTTTCCTTTGCTACTGAGATGAGTTGGCTATGCCAAAAAGACCCAAAAAAAAAAAAAAAAAAAAAAAGACAAGTTTGTGGTGATTGAGTTTCTGGGGTGGGATTTAGTCTGGTTTTGTTTATTTAAATGACCTGGTCTTGTTTGCTGAGAAAACCAGAGATGGTTTAAGTTGTGTTTTCTGTTACAGAAATTTCCCCAAGTAGGATGAATAGAGAACTAGCATGATCAGAGGCCTTGCAAACCACCACTGTGATTAAGACAAAGATTCTCTCTTAACTTTGCTTTGTTAAACTGACACTAAAACTCCAAATGCAAGAGAGCATGAGACCCAGTCATCTGGGTTCAGAAATACACGTCCAGGGTAAAACAGGCAAAGCTAATTCTAGAAAGATTAGGAAAATGGAGAATCTGTCTTGGGGATCTACAAAACTTTGGCTTGTTTGGTTGAGCGAAGTGGAGGTGGGGGAGAGTTAAGGGATTCCTGCCAGTAAGTGCATTAGAGATCAAAGAGAATATCAAGGAAAAGAGATAGTAAATCTTAGAGAAACTCTAATGCAAGATGAGCATGTGGGAAGGGCTGAGGGGAAATAAGCTGTCCAGGAATGTATGCTGGAAGTTAGAAAACTCTTTTCTGTTGACCAGAGAAGTGCTTTTCTGGAGAAACCTTCTACCTAGGTCAAACAACTGCACTTAACTGATGGGTTTTGGACTTAGATCCTATGGAAGGATTTCTTAAAGTTAGCAGGAGGTTAGATTCTTAACAATTCTAGGTAGATGCAAAAAATAAAGCCATAAACTATCATCAGGCTGGCTATTAAGCTCTTCTAATGATCCAAGTGTTATGCTGCAATTGTTTCAGAATTTGTGATTCAATCCCACCAGGTTTTGATCTTTGTATAGAGACACTATGTAAGATAAGTGCTCGTAAACTTGGTGTAGACACATCGGTTTGTTGCATCCATACTTTGTTTGTATTACACAAATACAAAGGAAAATGGTGATATCTGCAGCTTTTTGTCTACACTCCTAGATGTCATGGAAAGTTTCATTGTAGTCAGTGGTGTTTTGACTTTAAACGATCTGGTGATTTGTGAAACTGGCTGAACAATATTTTTTTTTCTCCTTGAAATTATTTTACAATCATAGTTTCTGTGGTGGTTTTGCATATTTCTTTGCATTTCGCACCCTAACTTTTAATAAAAAAACAAGAACAAAGGAGGTAACATTTGAAATTTTAGAAGAACCACCTTGCATCAAGCAGAGATTTTATTTATTTTTTATGAAAGTGTCTATGATATTTAAAGTCAATTTACAGTAAAAGGGCAGTTTCAAAGAGTATTTTTGTATCACTTTCAGTCAGGTCATCTTTGGGAGAAAGTTGTTGCCAGAGGTTGGCTGCCTGTCTCCTGTGAGATATTTATTTAATATATATAAGGTAGAATGGAGCTCTGACCAATTAAAAACACAGAGATGTGCTGTGCCTGTGCTGAAAAGGTAGGAAAAGAAAAAGTGAACATATAGACTATGTTCATATAGACAGCATCTGCTGTATTCATTCATCATTGCACTTATAAGCTTCAACACCTGAGCTTGCTTTTTAACAAAAAACATATGCTTATTCCTGTCCTTGTATCAGTCAGTTACAAAAGCTTCCTTGTTCTCTTTTTTTCACCCCCACTTTTTCTATTTGTTTGTTTTGGTGGGGGTTTTTTTGTTTGTTTTGTTTTGTGGGTTTTTTTTTTTTTTGGTCTTTTTCTGCCTGCCTCTATCCAAATAATTTCTGAAGTTAACGGCCTAACACATTTCTTGCCTCATAAGAGTCAAACATGCAAGACAACAGAGTGCCGTGAGGGTACCTAATACAGGAGAGTGTATTCTGACAGCACCCTTCATTTGCACAGTGCAAACCCTATTGGGATTGCTTGACACAGTGCTGTTTTAAGAATAATTTAGGATTCAAGCAATAACTGAAGATCAAACCATCCTGAATTCCCTAAATACATCAAAGGACAAGTTCCAGGGAAATCTGAGATCATACAGGGAAATGAAGGTGAAGAATTGGAAGGACAGGGAAAATTCTCTTTGCTGTTCACTACTTTACAAAGCAAATCTGTTTAAACCTCCTTTCAATCGGTGAAACCACAGGGTCACTTGACTTGTCATTATAAGGATAATTTATGAAGAGCTTTGTGGTAAATGTGTCTTTGTTAATCATTGCAGTCATTTTAGGAAAAGAAATAGCTCACAGAAAAGGATATTGCTGAAATACCGTTTGGTTTATTTTTCTTTCCATAGAACCAGGAAGGTCCCTCAGATACAGCTGGACCTTCGTGCTATGATAGATACCACGTAGGTATCTATCAACTGGGTGTTTTAATTAATCCCTGTCTCTGCTTCAGCCATCACTGAGAATTCAACTGATAGCTAAAAGGCAGTAGTTCTTCAGCTCATTTTCAGGACTTAATTTTATACAACTAATTTTTTTAATTTTCCTCTCCAGTTACTCTAAGACTTTGGTGCATACCTACTTACATGAAGTAAAATTTGGGTTCCTATAAAAGGAACTTTAAAAACTTGCATCCAGGAATGATTTAATCTAATGTACTGCAGTAATGTTTTTGTAAACAGTGTCAAATATTATGGAATATTTACTTTTGGAAAGAAAGCCAGGAAAGAGGTCAATGGTCAGGGCAGTCAGGCTGTTCCAGAAATAGATAAGCAAGTATCCTCTATTATAAATGCAAAATTGTGCTCTTTGGAAAGAGAAAGGAAAAAAAAAAAGTCAAAGAAGGGTTATTTAACTATACCTTTCATTTTGGATAAAAGTCTTACACTGTCTGGTTTGCATGAACAAATCCTTTATCATCAAATCCGCTGGGGTGATCAGGTTTTCTGTGGTAAATGTAAAGTAATAGTTTCAGGGGTAAATGAGTAAATGAATACGAGGAAAAACTTCTTTACTGGAACAGGCTGCCCAGAAAGGTTGTGAAATCTCCTCTGAAGATATCCGAAAACCCTTCTGGGTGTGATCCTGTGGAACCTGCTTTAGCAGTGAAATAGAATTAGATGATCTTCAGAGGTCCCTTCCAACCCCAACCATTTTGTGACGGAGTAAATTTTGGCTTAGCTTTCCAATTTACTCCTCAAGTCATGTAATAGAAGTTTGACAAGAAAGAGAAGGTCCTGTACTATATTTTTTTATTCAGTTTATTTAAATGAGTGAGAGTGATATCGAGTCTCTTCATAGGTTTATTCATCTGACATCAGTTTAGTAATTGCTATGATAGTAGAACACTCCCATGCATGAAAAATAGGGAGATGTGTGTTGTGAGTTAACTACAAATGAGCTTGAAACATACTGATTAAGGTGTTTTAGTTCAAAGAGAAATTAATTCAGACTTTTTACACTGTCCTATATTGCAGATAGACTGGATAATCACCCCATCCCTTCTGGCTTCTTAATGTAAGAATCTGCTAACTAATTCTACCTTGGGTAATTATGAATATATGGAATGTTTTAAATTCATGTCAAAATTAATTAGAGCAATAGCAGGTGTCTAAATCTACCTTTTCGTTTTCATTTTTCACACAGATAAATACATGTGTCTTACATGTAAGATTTTAGGGAGACAGAACGTGCAGAAAGCTACAGCTTTCCCCTCAGTAGTGTGAAATTTTAGCATACCTGCACATATCTCTCAACCCTGTTGCCTGTACCCCATAATCACCTTTAGGGGGTGGTGTTACATTCCCATACTCATTGAGACCTCCACACCTTTATCCATACGACCTGGATGTAGAGAAAAGCAGTTGTGGAAACAGCACTTTATGCAGGGTTTGCCAACTCTCCTTTGAGAGCTGGGCCCTTTGACCCACTGACTGATGTGAATCCCATCTGTCAGACATATGTGATTTCATGGCGTTGCTGATCTCATTCCATCCTCCAGCAGAGACTTGATGGTGGAAGGTTGGGTGTTCCCTTAGCTGCATCCCTGCTCCCCAGCCTGCCAGCTTCCCATCATAGTTTTATCTCCAACTAATAGGACTTTTTAATATTCTCCACATCTAGGCAGTTTACGTAACCCTAGTCTGGCTTCCTACTTTGATCTATCCCTGATGAGTGCTAATTACCTATAGAAGTGATATCTGGTGTCAGCTGCTGATGGGTAGGGGAAGCTGTGCGAGCCTTGCGTGCCTCTCATTTTGGATAATTTGCACTGTGTGCAATCTAAGATATTCAGAATCAAGGCCCAATCTTGCATTAATTTCAGCATGTGAGGAGGTGTTTTTTTTCCTCCCATGGTAAAGTGTATGACAGGAACAGGAGTAAAAACTGGGGAAAGAAAGGAAGAGACGCAGATTTTCCCTCACATCAAAGGGAGGATTATTTTTGCATATCTGTTTAAGACATTTTTCACAGTTGCTGCAGTTATTTTTGAGAACCCTTCTGTATTTCCAGGAGTTTGCTTGACTCAGAACGGCTGAAAAGCAGCTTTGGCAGCACGTAGGTTTTGATCCACTCCTCTCACTATAGAGGCTGTCCTCTCCCCATGAAATACTGAACCAACGTGCTCTTGCTCATGGTGAATGACTAACAAGTTGAGTAAGAGAATGATGATGTCTCTCCTCCTGTCACTTCCCATTTATGAAATATTGGATAAATAAATAACCAAAACTATCAATTTTTTTTAAAATCCTTTTCTTATGAACCTTCTGTATGGGGGGTTTTAAACTGATTGCTGACTTCCACAGAAAGATTGAGACTGAACACTGTGAACACTTTATGAAAATATACTGAGCTTCATTTGTTTTGTTTCCTTTAACCCTCACTAATATTTGAGCTGGTAAAAGAGAAGAAACTGAGATTCTTCTAAATGAAATGAATAGATTTTTCTTCTCCTCTATGGAGAACACTTTTGTTTGTTTGGATGTAGGGAGAAGTAAGCATAATAGGAATGTCCTTTTACTTCCAAGATTAAAGCTAATAGTCTCTGCCACTGCAGCAGAGACATGTAAGTTTAAGAAAATAAATCCTGCCATTATCTAACAAAATATTTTCTGAGTAAAACAACCGGTTTTGAACCCTGGGTTTGCCACATGTCAACAAAACCCAGACAGGTGACTTGAAAGAGTCTCATTTTAACAAGCCCAATTTAAAGAGCTCATCCAGTTAGTGTCATATTTATTTGTTGGTCTGTCCCAGCAAATGCAGATTTCTGTGCTTTCAGGTTAACAAAGGCACTGTTTGTCTCATTTGTGATTTATAGACAATAACTATAGCATTAAAAATCAAGCAATAAATTTCTGCAGGATATGGCTAGTGAAAAGAAATCTGATTTTAGCTACTGCCTTTGTCCTCACCATAAAGCTACTAATTCTCCCATCCCAGTGCATGAGTTCTGCCACTGAAATTCACTATCAGCAGAAGCATGTCTCATAGCAAACTTACCCTGTTGATGCAGTTAAGTACAAAATCAAGCTGATTGCCTGTCTTTGTGTCATTTGTTATCTCTTGCCAGTTCAGTGCAATGTATTGCCTTAGTCATAATTTGTGCGAATCACATGTGTGAGAAAAGCATTCTGTAGATCACGTTGCAAAAGTGATGAGTTACCAAAACTTGAGTTTCAAGCCAGAAGGCAAATCAAGCAACAGTGTCGCCTGTGCTGGCAGATCAGCTGCTTCAGTCAAAGAAAGAGGGAGAGAGAAAAAAGCAGTGGTCCCTCCCAGGACAAATAGACACCCTCCTGGCCTCCCTTCCTCTTCTGCGCCTTATCTCCAACAAAACCCTGATGGCTTCTCCCAGGTTTTCTCAAGTCTCTGAAATGCCTCAAGCTTGCTTTGAGATAATTATATAAGAACAGAGTGAACATTTATTCATGAAATACAGTGGACTTATGTAATGCATCTTTGTCCCAGCAAGTCTTTCCTCCCTGGGATTAATGCTATTTTCAATTACATTAAAGGAATCAATTATTTCTACTTCTTTTTAGGTAAAACTTTAGAATGAATTTGATGTCTCTTTCTTGCATCAGTAGCAATCATTAAATAGGATGGTACCTTTTAGTTGCTGAATATTCTGCTTTCAGCTTAGTCACATTTTAAGACATCTGTAAGCACGTGCTCAGGTGTTTTTCTCAAATGAGGACCAGCGGTTAGAATTTCACAGGACTGATGCTTTAGGATCCTAATACTTCACTGAAGAGGAAGACTTCATGGAACAATTGCTTTCTAGATAAGCTGCCTTGCCATTCACAATTATTTTTCTCATATTTTAAATGTGTGTTGAATAATTAAACTTTAATCAGTTAGAGTGATGCTAAAAAACTATTAATATATATCTAAAGGGGACTCGATGGGATGAATTTACAAAAATAGTCCTGAACTATTTTTCTTTTTTTTTTTTATGAATAATGAAATTATCTAAGTTACCTTTGACAAGCTTCTAAACTAGTATATGGATCAGGAGTGTACAAGTGGACAGCAAAAATGCAAACTATAAATCTGTCTTAGAAGCAAATGACCTTAATGTTTGTGGATCATCACAACATGTTTATCCAGGTCTTTCTCCTACAACATGGACTCAGTCTAGTGAACCTTCAGCTTCCAAATTCAAAGCTAAAAGTGTTCAGGGATATTCCAACTTCATTTCACTCTCAAGGATTAGAAACAGTGCATGGGAGACATATGGATGCAGTATGTGAAATACAGAATCTAATAAAAACTAAACCCACATTTGGGGAATAATGACAGCTGGGCTTGTGGCACCGATGTCTTTCTGGCCTCTATAAGTTGGAAATTTCCCCCCGATTCTTTCAGTTTGTCCTTTTTTATTTCATTCCTGAAAATCTGGATTCTATTCTCAAGAGATCAAAAAGCTCAGGTTTAGTTGTCCCCTTGAGCACTGGCTTTAACAAGCTGCAAGACCACCCTCTTCAAGCAATCCTTGCTCGTGTGTCAAAGCCTCCAACAATACCCAACGTGCTGCCAGCTATAAAGAAACTCCCCCCTTGTCCCAGTGATGGCAAACCATTGGCACCATCAGAGATCTGTTCTGGCACCAACCACTTGTATTTACTGCAAGATTTTTAGCCATGCATTTAGTCTAGACATCACAGAGGTCCACTGTTGCTAATTTTGGGCACAGACTCCCTGTTTCCTATTCCCTATAGGGATATATGCAAAGAAATACCAGGAGAAAACAGCAGTGCAGGATCTAAAAGGGGCCTCTTTTGGAGTCTTAAATATTTTTATTTAAAAATATATAGAAAACATACTTGATACTCAGTTTACAATACAGGAAAATTTACTCTACCAGCTTGTCTGGCATCTTCTTGCTGATAGCACTGACTTTTCAGAGGTGGGACATTTTTGAATCAGGTTCCAATGGGCATTTTATTAATTGACTTCTACTGACTTCAATTCTAATTTCTAGGCAGTGTCCAAGAATCTGGTCTTACTCTACTCTGTAGCACTGCTCATAAGATTGCTTGATTTTCAGTTTAACAGTTCACTGAAAAATCATCTCAGGAAATCATTCTCTACTCTTTCTGAATTTCTGCATATGAATTTCACGGTTGTTCTCTTAGAAGATTTAGCACAAAAGATTTTATGCTTAAGCCTTATCCTTCATAAATATCCTATACATTAAATTAGTATATAAAAGCAAATATGCTAACTGCATTAAAAATTAACCTTTTCCCAGTGCTGCTTCATGTATCTTTCTAGTTAGTGGCATTTTTTTAAAAAATAATGATGTTTTAAAACTAAGAGCTTCATCCAATTTAGTGTAAGTTCTGCCACAGACCATTCTCCATAGTAGAGGAGTGTAACATATGACTAGTATGCACTATTTTGGCCAAAAAGCAAAGAGAAAGTTTATTCTGACTAATTGTAAAAAGATTTTATGTCCTGTCTATCCAAATACTTCCTGAGTGTTGGAAGGCTACACAGCTTTTCTTCATTTATGTTGATCACATCTACTCCAATAAGTTTTGTTAGCTCTTTTTTTCCATTTCTGCCTCCCTCACCAGCAGGGTAAGTGAAGAATGAGAATTAGGGGTCAAATTTGAGGATGTTAGGTCTAGTCTAAATAACACTGAGTTTGATGGAAAATGTCTCTTGACTTCAAAGATGATTATATTGGGCTCTGTTATATAAAATGTCTGTGATGAATCTGGAAAATTAACCTACTTCCACATAAAACCCTGCTCAATTTAAGCTCTCATAAAATAATTACAGCACTACCACTACTATATGTCTTCATTAAAATAGTTGAGAAGATCAAATATTATTGTCATAATTTTCAAAGTAGTAAAAGATTTCCTGTCTAGAAATAAAATGCCTTCTAAGAAAATCTGGATGCTTACAGTTTTGACTTCTCTGCCTTCAGTCCTTAGCCAATTATTAATCAAGATCCTTTTTCTCTGTGGTCACTTAACTCAGTGTCAGTTTGTGTGAACAGA